TGGAGTGTAATGGCATGATCTCAGCTCACTGCAACCTCTGCCTCCCAGGTTCAAGCAGTTCTCCTGCCTCAACCTCCTGAATAGCTGGGACTACAGGTGCCTGTCACCACACATGGCTAATTTTTATATTTTTAGTAGAGACGGGGTTTCACTATGTTGGCCAGGCTGGTCTCAGACTCCTGACCTCAAGTGATCCGCCCGCCTCAGCCTCCTAAAGTGCTGGGATTGCAGGCGTTAGCCACCACGCCCAGCCTTCTTCTTTCAAGTTATATTGAATGGAGCATGGGAGTGGTGGTGGCTAGGGACATTTCCTGGGGACACTCTTCCCTCATCTGCCCCAGAAGGACTTCACTAAACCCTGTGGATAATGGAAGGTTTGTTACGGTACAAACGTATATTTATGTGTGTCTGTGTGTGTGCATAGGTGTGATGTTTGACCCCCTCTCCCCATCATGTTTCCCCTGGAATGAATGCTGTCAGGTCTTCTCAAGTTCGTGTTGAAGCTGCCAAAGTCGGGGGGGATCTGGTCCTGCCCAAACCCCTTTGGAATTGCTGGCCCATCCCCCTATGGGAGAGCTGGGGTACAGCTCACCTTAGGGGAAGAAAACCTCATGCATCAAAGTAATTTCTTGTGAATGCAACGGCTGGGGGAGCAGGTCTTTGGGGGGCAAGAAGCCAGTCAGGGGCTTGTCTCCCCTCACAGAGCTCCCCAGACGCGCCCCCCAACCCCAATGCCTGAGAACCAGATCTAGGCTGAGAACCAGATCTAGGCTAATAAACGGTTCAGTTTCTCTTTCTGGTGGTTGGTGTGTCTTTTCAGGTTTAAGGGAACAGTTTTTCCCAGGAGTGCCCCATGGCTGGGCTGGATGGAATGGGAAGTGGGTGGCTGCCCGGGTAACTCATTCTTTGCCAACCTTCCCTTTCTGTGCCCCCAACACCCTTAACCCAGCCTGAGCCAGGAGAAAACAGAGGTCAACCGGGATCTTTCCCAGGGGCTGCTCTCTTGCCCCTCCCGGGAATTAACTAGACCTGAGATCTCCCTGCTTTCCCTGAAAGAGACAGCCTGGCGGGTGGTGGGAGGCTCCTTCTTCCTCCCAATTTTATGTGCCTACTAAGGGAGCTGGAGAGATGGTTTGAGGGGGATACGACCAACCCAGATACCCACCCTGGGACTCAGTGTTCCCAAAAGTAATGGCTGATCTTCACCAAGCACTTTCTAGGCATGAAGACCTGACTGCTCAGGAGGTGGAAGTTATTATAAACTCTTATGGAGGTGTGAGTTCAGAGACATCAAGCAAACTGCTCAGAGTCACACAGCACTAATTGGGGCAACACCTGTCTGGATTTGAACCCAAGCAGGTTGACTCCAGACCACACTAGATCCACCACTGGGCTAGAGAGAGGCCACTCAGCCGAGTGTGGTGGCTCATGCCTATTATCCCAGCACTTTGGGAGGCTGAGGTGGGCGGATCACTTTAGGTCAGGAGTTAGAGACCAGCCTGGCCAACATGATGAAACCTTGTCTCTGCAAAAAATACAAAAATTAGCCGGATGTGGTGGTGGGCGCCTGCAGTCCCAGCTACTTGGGAGACTGAGCAGGAGAATCACTTGAACATGGGAGGTTGAGGTTGAGGTTGCAGTGAGCTGGGATTTTGCCACTGCACTCCAGTTTGGGTGACAGAGCCAGACTCTGCCTCAAAAAAAAAAGGAGAGAGAGAGGCCACTCAGCCCCCTCTTTGCAATAGAAGGAGGGGCCACGAGGTTCATCAGGAACCAGGAGAAGCCAGGATGGGATGCAGCTGTGGGTGGTTCCCTCAATGGCTCCCTATACTCTTTTGTCTGCAGGCAGATGGCTCAGTGGCTCCTTTCAAGACAGGTCTGGAGCTTTTTTTTTTTTCTTTTGGAGACAAGGTCTTGCTCTGTCACATAGGCTGTAGTGCAGTTGGTGCCATCGTGGCTTACTTCAGCCTCCGAAGTAGCTGGGACCACAGACGGGCACCACCATGCCTGGCTAATTTTTATGTATATATATTTTTTTGTTTTGTTTTCTTTTGTTTGTTTTTTGTAGCAAGGGGGGGTCTCTCTATGTTTCCCAGGCTGGTCTCGAACTCCTGGGCTCAAGCGATCCTCCCACCTCCACCTTGGTCTCCCAGAATGCTGGGATTTCAGGCATGAACCCTTGGATGGATGACCCTAGGCCCCCCAAGCTGGAGCCCCACACAGCAACACCAGCTCAAAGACTAGGACAGCCAGTGGGAGAGAAGGCAGATGGCAGAGGCCGAGGGCCTGCAACCCCCATCGGAATTCCCCTTCTCTAGCAGTTGAGAAAACAACCTCTGTTTGGAAACCTGAACCCTTGATGGGATGGGGGGTGGGGTGGGGGAAAGAGGCACAGGCCAGGCCAGGGCCAGTAGATTTTCCCCAAGTACCCATAGGCTTCTGCATGTCTGCCTTCAGGACTCTGCTTAAATGCCACCTCCTCAGAGAGGTCCTCCCTGGCCAACCCCTCTTATTGCCTGGCGGTATAGTATTAGGTTGGTGCAAAAGTCATTGCAGTTTTAATGGCAAAAACCAGTAACTTTTTTTTTTTTTTTGAAACAGAGTTTCACTCCTGTTGCTCAGGCTGGAGTGCAATGGCGCCATCTCAGCTCACCACAACCTCCGCCTCCCAGGTTCAAGTGCTTCTCCTGCCTCAGCCTCCCAAACAGCTGGGATTAAAGGCGCCTGCCACCACTCCTGGTTAATTTTATATTTTTAGTAGAAATGAGGTTTCTCCATGTTGGTCAGGTTGGTCTCAAACTCTGACCTCAGGTGATCTGCCTGCCTCAGCCTCCCAAAGTGCCGGGATTACAGGCACGAGCCACCACGCCTGGAGAAAAAAACCAGTCGCTTTTAATGGCAAAAACCGCAATGACTTTAGCACCAACCTAATATAAATCAATTTATCTGTCTCTACCTTCATTAAAATACAGGCACCGTGAAGATAGGACTGCACCTGCCTTATTTACTAATGGATCTCTAGCATTTTTTATTTTTAAGACAAGATCTCACTCTGTTACCCAGGCTGGAGTGCAGTGGTGCAATCACAGCTCACTACAGCTTCAACCTTCTGGACTCAGGTGATCCTTCCACCTCAGCCTTCCCAGTAGCTGGGACTATAGGCTTGCTAATTTTCTTTTTTTGTAGACACAGGGTTCTGCCATGTTGCCCAGGCTGGTCTTGAACTCCTGGGCTTAAGAGATCCACCCACCTCAACCTCCCAAAGTGCTGAGATTAGAGATTAAGGTGTGAGCCCCCACCTTGCCTGGCTATCTATAGCTCTCTCACATCTTTTTTTTTTTTTTTTTTTTTT